CCTTAATCTACACAGGTACAGTGAGATATATAATCTCAACCCTCTGTCTATCTCTCTCTGTATGCCTGGATAATATGTAGAAACACGTAAACGTTCGGAATTTTAGTTTAATTTTCCTAGAGGATAATTAGGAATACATTTACATTTGTATGCATAAGTTTGAATAGATGCATGTATTCAAACATGTATATTTTTATAATAACCATATTTTCTTCTTCTCGTGAAATTAATTAATTCCACAAATTACTAATCATAACAATCTATCCACCACTCAAAGAATGTAACTCTCTAATATGTGGACGTTAATTGCATGTTTTCGAACGAACGCATCGCGTCTGCATTCTGAAAACATTTACCACGTTCCAATGCCGCAACTAATTAATCGTTCAACACAGGTACAATCTGTTCCCAGAGGATCCCAGAATAATTGCCATCTCATAAACAAAACAACAAAGTGGTAAACCTCACAATATAGCACATTCCCTTCAGCTGCTTTGCAATATACACATTTTCACATTCCTACTTGAATCTTAATTTTCTCACTTGATGTGATTGGTGTAAATGAAACTGCTCTTTTATGTGAAATGCGTTATTATTTTCTTTGCATACCGAAGCCAATTCTCCTTAGTTAGAGAAAGCATCAATATTATGCTGATTACAATTTCACTGAAATAATAATTTTTTGCTGTTTTCATGCTGTTGTCTACAGCGTTAAAAATTACAATATATTAAGAGAGAGAACAGGCTGGCAAATAAACATGAACACTTTTTTTTTTAATCCCCCCAAACAGACGCTGTAAAACAATCACGAAACCGCTCCGCACCCCACCCACACACACACACATTCCAGGAGAAGTTAATTACAAGTGTTCGTTTGGTGGGCGCCCGAGCGCCCTCTCCCCACGACAATAACAAAACTAGCGATTGAGCCTCAGTGCAAGCCGGGATGATTCCTTTTAAACTCACACACGCATATAAAATGTCGAGAGACAGTTTTGTATTTGCAGAGAATTTAATAGCATTCCTGCGTCATCTATCGCTCTCTCTCTCTCTCTCTCTCACATTCGCAACAGTTTTACAAAGTTTTCTACCACTCATTTCATTTGCACTGACAATATAATTTGTTATGTTTTGTCAGTTGGCGTGATGCAGTTCTTTGTTACTCTGTTACAAAGAACTGTTCTGAACGCTTACATGTTTGTTGAGGGCACGAAGAACTGCTTGTTTGAAGCTGTTAAGTAATTTGAACCACGCGTGTGCGTGTATGCATATGTTTGTATGTGTGTGTACTTCTCTATATGGAATTACCTGTAAGGGAGTGTGTGTAATATTATGCTTCAGCTCTTGGGCTTCAATTGTTAGTTCCTTATACCTTCGTTTGTTAATGGGGTACCCGGGAGCGCCCGGGGTCTCTCTCCTCTCACTCCATCACGCATATACCCTCGGTTTTCTTCTCTCTCTTAATCTCAACCTCTCCCATCTCTTTCTCGTTACCCCCCTTCCATTCCCCTCTTCCCGTTTCTATTCCTATCCCCCTCTCTCTTTACCTTTCTACATCAACATTCCCTTCTCCCTATCTCTCTCCTTCCTCTCTTTCCCCCTTCCAACTCTATCCACCATTTTCCTTTTCTTCCCTAATAGAATTTATTTGTCTCCATCAAATACATTTCTAAGTATTGTCTTAGAAATGTAAGAAATTGGTCTTATTCAAATACATTTGAATACTTGAATGTTTAAATACATTTGTATTCAAATGTATTTCAGTGATCTGGCCTCTCTAGCTCATTTTATTTGTTGCCTGTTAATTGAGGAAATTCGTGTTAGTTTCACTTTAGGTCATCTGTTTATCAAATTTCTTCTACTGTTATTTCTCGTACGTAACTCTGATCATCTTGTATTTCGTGATCATTTCTTCTGTGTTTCTATATCTGCTCACTTTATGTACTTTCTTAAAGTTTCAACTGACACATGAGCTCCTTTTCTCTGGTGTCAGAACTGTTCTCAGTCATTTTTTTCGTGTTATGTAAGAATAATTAGGCGGTAAGCATCTAGCTGTGCTTGCAGGGGTTGAGCTCCGGCTCTTTGGCCCAAGAAGCGTGTGTGTGAAGAAAAGTGTGTTCGATGCTTGCGTTGCACACTGGAGACTTGGTCTAATGTATGTTGTATATAATTCTCTAAATGATTCTTTGTCAACATTTCTCAAAGCCCTTCTCATAACACACAATTAAGTCCTTCTCAAAAACACACAAGTCCTTCTCAAAAAAACAAAAAAAACAAGGTATCCTGTTTGTGTGCTTAGTTCAGTCATCTTGGAGTGTGTGTGTGTGTGTGTGTGTGTGTGTGTGTGTGTGTGTGTGTGTGTGTGTGTGTGTGTGTGTGTGTGTGTGTGTGTGTGTGTGTGTGTGTGTGTGTGTGTGTGTGTGTGTGTGTGTGTGTGTGTGTGTGTGTGTGTGTGTGTGTGTGTGTGTGTGTGTGTGTGTGTGTGTATGTGTGTGTGTGTGTGTGTGTGTGTGTGTGTGTGTGTGTGTGTGTGTGTGTGTGTGTGTGTGTGTGTGTGTGTGTGTGTGTGTGTGTGTGTGTGTGTGTGTGTGTGTGTGTGTGTGTGTGTGTGTTTACTAGTTGTGTTGTGTTTTTGCGGGGGTTGAGCTTTGCTCTTTCGGCCCGCCTCTCAACTGTCAATCAACTGTTTACTAACTACTTTTTTTTTTCTTTTTTTTTTCCCCCACACCACACACACACACCCCAGGAAGCAGCCCGTGACAGCTGACTAACTCCCAGGTACCTATTTTCTGCTAGGTAACAGGGGCACTTAGGGTGAAAGAAACTTTGCCCATTTGTTTCTGCCTCGTGCGGGAATCGAACCCGCGCCACAGAATTACGAGTCCTGCGCGCGCGCGCGTGTGTGTGTGTGTGTGTGTGTGTGTGTGTGTATGATGATGATGATGATGATGACTGTCCGTGAGGTCATCGCGTGCCATCACACACCTAGATACACCCTGGACACGCTTCATCGCTTCTCTGATGGCTGTTGCAATCGTTGCAATCACTGAATGCCAACTTGCAGTCTTGCAAGTGGGAGTCTATTTACGGAGCGACGGATGTCTCACTGACACAAAACTTTATTTTAATACTTCCTTTTCCTTCCAAGTCTGGCAAAGTCTGAGCTCCTACGGCCCAAACGGTTCTGACCCACACTAACCTTCCTATGACAATGAAAACCAAAGGTTCCAAATATAGCTTCGAATGTGGAAATTAGCCTTAAATATAGTTTTCTCAGTCTTAAAAAGTCTTTCACAAACCAAGAATATTAATAATCCTTAAAAACCCACATTGAAAATATACATATAATGGAAATTGATAATAATAGTAATAGCATTTTCTTCCCATAAGTCTGATCCAGACATAGATAATTAATTGTTATGATAATCAAAGGCAAAAAATAAAGTTAAATTGATGGAAAGTTAAATTAAATACTAACATATTCTAGACTTAAAGTCTAGGATATTCTAGCCTTAAAGTCTAGGATATTCTAGCCTTAAAGTCTAGGATATTCTAGCCTTAAAGTCTAGGATATTCTAGCCTTAAAGTCTAGGATAGAGACTCATCTAACCAGCGTCACAGTTGATGATGCCGCTGATGTTTACGATAGCACTGATAACGTTGGTGTTTGAAGAATTGATGTCATCGTTGATTACTGCGTTGACGTCGTTACTTATATCGTTGTTAAAGGGTATCTTTGTTGTCGTTGATGGTTATATACAGTTGATGTCGTCGGTGATTATATTATTGATGTCGTAGTGGATTATGTCGTTGATGTCTATATGATAGTTCCTCCAGCATGATAGATAGTAGTTATTCCTGGAGCTCTAACAGTAGTTACAACAGTGCCACCATCAGTAGCAGCACCAGCAGCAGTAGCAGCACCAGCAGCAGTAGCAGAAGCACCAGCAACAGTAACCGCAGCAGCAACAGTAGCAGCAGCAGCAACAGTAGCAGCAGCAACAGTAGCACTAGCAGCAACAGTAGCACCAGCAACAGTAGCAGCAGCAGCAACAGTAGCAGCAGCAGCAACAGTAGTAGCAACAGTAGCAGCAACAGTAATAGCAACAGTAGCAGCAACAGCAACAGTAGCAGCAGCAACAGTAGCACTAGCAGCAACAGTAGCAGCAGCAGCAGCAGCAACAGTAGCACCAGCAGCAACAGTGGTAGCAACAGTAGCACCAACAGCAACAGTAGCAGCAGCAACAGCAGCAACAATAGCAGCAGCAGCAACAGTAGCACCAACAGCAACAGTAGCAGCAGCAACAGCAGCAACAATAGCGGCAGCAGCAACAGTAGCAGCAACAGCAAAAGTAGCAGCAACAGCAACAGTAGCAGCAACAAAAACACTAGCAGAAGCAACAGGTCTGGCATGATATCAATCCCCAGGTCTTTCTCTCTCAGATTCTTGCAGAATTTCATCTCCCAATGTATGTATGTATGTATGTATGTATGTATGTATGTATGTATGTATGTATGTATGTATGTATGTATGTATGTATGCATGTATGTATGTATGCATTCATATACGTATACATGTAGTGGTGTATGGTGTCTGAAATAACATTTCACACCTTCTGGTGACGAGGCGCCCAGAATGCCTGAAACTGTTGCTATCGGGAACAATTTGCACCAAAATATAAAAACTGTTATCTGTAGCGCACACAGTTTGCCAGAGTTCGCCGCGAGATGTTAACACAGCCACTATGGACATTTTCAGTTATATAATTTATCTGAAAAGATATCTTTTATCATTTTCATTATATATTGATAAGTAAACTTTACTCATGATCTCTTAAATATGTAGATGATCAATTTCCTTTCAATAACATCATTCAGAAATATACAATGAATTATTTTCCACAAAATGTCAGTATATTATTTGTTTACACATGAATAATTCTTAATAATAACGTAACACATAAATATTTTATTTTCTTTCTCTATGATCTAGATTTAGATCAGGAAGTTTTATTTGTTAGTACTTTGTTAGTCCTGCGGTAAGTGTCCACGCCCGTGTGAGTCCTCTGGTAAGTGTCCACGCCCGTGTGAGTCCTCTGGTAAGTGTCCACGCCCGTGTGAGTCCTCTGGTAAGTGTCCACGCCCGTGTGAGTCCTCTGGTAAGTGTCCACGCCCGTGTGAGTCCTCTGGTAAGTGTCCACGCCCGTGTGAGTCCTCTGGTAAGTGTCCACGCCCGTGTGAGTCCTCTGGTAAGTGTCCACGCCCGTGTGAGTCCTCTGGTAAGTGTCCACGCCCGTGTGAGTCTCTCTGGTAAGTGTCCACGCCCGTGTGAGTCCTCTGGTAAGTGTCCACGCCCGTGTGAGTCCTCTGGTAAGTGTCCACGCCCGTGTGAGTCCTCTGGTAAGTGTCCACGCCCGTGTGAGTCCTCTGGTAAGTGTCCACGCCCGTGTGAGTCTCTGGTAAGTGCCCATGCTCTTGTGAGTCTTCTGGTAATGTCCACGCCCGTGTGAGTCCTCTAGTAAGTGTCCACGCCCGTGTGAGTCCTCTGGTAAGTGTCCACACCCGTGTGAGTTCTCTGGTAAGTGTCCACGCCCGTGTGAGTCCTCTGGTAAGTGTCCACGCCCGTGTGAGTCCTCTGGTAAGTGTCCACGCCCTTGTGAGTCCTCTGGTAAGTGTCCACGCCCTTGTGAGTCCTCTGGTAAGTGTCCACGCCCTTGTGAGTCTTCTGGTAAGTGTCCACGCCCTTGTGAGTCCTCTGGTAAGTGTCCACGCCCGTGTGAGTCCTCTGGTAAGTGTCCACGCCCTTGTGAGTCTTCTGGTAAGTGTCCACGCCCTTGTGAGTCCTCTGGTAAGTGTCCACGCCCTTGTGAGTCTTCTGGTAAGTGTCCACGCCCTTGTGAGTCTTCTGGTAAGTGTCCACGCCCTTGTGAGTCCTCTGGTAAGTGTCCACGCCCTTGTGAGTCTTCTGGTAAGTGTCCACGCCCTTGTGAGTCCTCTGGTAAGTGTCCACGCCCGTGTGAGTCCTCTGGTAAGTGTCCACGCCCGTGTGAGTCCTCTGGTAAGTGTCCACGCCCGTGTGAGTCCTCTGGTAAGTGTACACGCCCCTGTGAGTCTTCTGGTAAGTGTCCACGCCCGTGTGAGTCCTCTGGTAAGTGTACACGCCCCTGTGAGTCTTCTGGTAAGTGTCCACGCCCGTGTGAGTCCTCTGGTAAGTGTTCACGCCCTTGTGAGTCTTCTGGTAAGTGTCCATACCCGTGTGAGTCCTGGGACAGATCCTCCCTTGTATGTCGCTTCTAATCACTACCTTAATGAGGTAGTTTGTGCTGCCTGTCCGCTTAATTGGGTAATTACAGAAGGTTGCAGGTATGCCGAGGTTCTGACTGCGTATCTTCCCCCCTATTTCATTCACAAATCCCTCTCCCTATTCCATGAACTCATCAACCCCCTTCTATTTCATTCAACTCCCATTCACGCCCACACCTCTCCCCACTAAGGCCAGGAAAATAGGAAATTCACTGCTCGCTCCAACATCAATAACTTTATAATGGGTGCCCTGAACAGTCTTCACAGAGGCGTTCGAAATTGTTTTTGACATCGGCTTTCATAGGAAGTTGTTGCAACGAGGGGACTTAAGGAAGGATAGGGGTCTTCAAGGGGTGTGTGGGGGGGGGGGCGGGGGGGGGGGGGAGGACGGGATAGGGGTCTTCAAGGGATGTGTGGGTGGGGGGGGGTGGGGTGTGGGGAGAGAAGGCGGGTCTTCAATATGTGTGGGTGGGGGGGAAGCAATCAGGAGAAGGGTGTTATATAGGGGGGGGGGGTTGCAATCAGGAGGGGGTGTGAGAGGTGAGGGGGAGTGTTTGCAAGGATGGAGGGGGTGTTGAGAGGTGAGGGGGGGTGTTAGGTGGGGGGGGGGGGGTGTTGTGGTGGAGGGGGGGGGCGGGTGTTGGGGTGGAGGGGAGGGGGGGTGGGAGACGGTGTTGTGGCTGGGGTGGAGGTGTTGTGGTCGTGGGGAATGAAATAAAGGGAGCCAAAGTCTGAGCCAAACACACGAAATAAAACGACAGAGGCGACGTTTTGATCCGTCTTCAGAGACGTATTAAGCAGTAACTGAGCAAGATTTAGAGAGGAATTCAATATGAAGCAAAAGGAAAGGCGAGGTGACGGGAAGTGACGGGAACTGATGGGAAAGTGAGGGGAAAGGGTCGAAGCAAGACATTACAAACCGGAGCTAACATAACAATGTATCAACAGGCGACATTGCCAAAGGAATATTGATCAATACGACAAAATTAAAACCAAACAGAGTAAGCAGAAGAGGGGAAGAGAAAGGCTTATTAAGGGTGAAATAATACAGAATGAAAAAATAGACTCAGAAAGAGACAGGACAAGAAGAGACAGGAGGAGTGCACTGAAGGACAAAGAGCCGAGACAGATCACGCTTGCTAAGGAGGGTTGATTATTTACCTGTGTACTGAGAAAGACAGGAGTCAACAGCAGGAC